CCAGATAAACCTAGTGAAACGTTGTGAATAAAATAAACAAAAGTTTTACTATGAACACAGTTCTTTATAATATTTAATACTAGCTGGAGTACCTGTCCTCTGGACGGAAGTTATGTAAATTTATTATTAATGAAAGGTTATCTTAGGACATGAAAAGTTGCTTCCCTTATAAAAAAAAACGCTCATTAAAACTGTAAAACACAAAATATGAAACCGTACGTTTGCGTGTATCTCTGCATTGACCCAACAAACCTTCATGTTGAATTTGGTGAAGATCCATCAATAGGGGGCGAAGTAGTGGTAAAAAATGCGAAAACGCCTATAAAAACCGCAAAGTTGAAAAGTTGTATGTATCTCCCCATGGACCCAATAAACCTTCATACCAAATTTGATGAGGATCCATCCAACCCTGCGAAGTAGTTACACGGACATAGAATAGACAATATTATCATATTTATGTAGACTAGCAACAATATACCCAAATCACGTACAACAACACTACTATAAACAACATACACTGATCGCTTACAACAATACTATCAACAATATACACACACATAAGAAGCAACAGTAGCAGTTGCCTTACCAACATGTGATCAAGAACAACAGTACCACTAACAAAACATGCACAAGTTTCGTACAACCATACCATTTACATAACGAACACGTGAGCTCAGTTCGAGTACAGCAATACAAGTATCAAAACTGTAAATTACATAATTATGAGAGATCTGAAACAAAGCTTCATATGTATGCACAAATTGAATGATAATGTTTTGAAATCAAATGCTAGAAATATACATGAATCGAGTTCAATGAGATTCATCAACTTACTATTTTTTTCTATCAAAAATATTAAAAAAAATGTATTTTCAAACTTTATTCGTATCATTGATAGATCAGTAAAAAACAAAAAAGAAGTTGTTATTGGTGTATGCGATTTGTGTAGTTCCTGAACCGATCCGAGCGCCCCCAGTGGCACAGCGGCATGTCTGCGGACTTACAACGCTAGAAACCGGGTTTCGACACCCATGGTGGGCAGTGCACAGATAGCCCATTTTGTGTAGCTTTGTGCTCAGTTTCAAATAAACAAACAGAACCGAGCTGTTAAATGATTAAATTAGGCTTAATTAGGATACCGACCTGTTAATTGATTAAATTAGGCTTAATAAAGATACCAACCTGTTAATTGATTAAAAGGTTAATGAAGATACTAACCGAGTAAATAATGATTCGAAACATTGTAATGAAGACGCCAATCTAATGAATCACACCATTCGTTTTATTCAGTAGAACAAGTTTTAATTAAGACATTTATCTGTTGAATTAATCCTAATTGTTTATGGAGCTGAATAGTTCCTATTATAAACCCCCACATTGTATCAGTTTGTGCTGATTAACGAACAGAACATGTTGTAATGCAGACAGCCATCTGGTGAGTAAATACCTACTGTTTGATCAACATTGCATATACCCATAGAATCTGTTGCGACGTAGACACCCGTCTGACGAATCAATACGTTTTATAGATAAGATTCAACAACAAAACTGCTTAATTGATTTAATCTTATAAAGTAACGAAATTTCACATCAATTTCAATCAAGCAACGCCCAATAACTACCAAACGTCATGAAAGTGGCCAGTAAAAATGACATATATATATATTTACGATATCAGGGATTGACGAGAGTTGAACAAAAAGTAAATATTTATACAACACCTTGGCGGAAATATTATTCAGACTGTGGACCGAGGCATATAAAACTGTGTTAATAATAATTCGAAAATTTAACAAACTCAAACATTTTTTTTGTTTAAGGAAGTATTTAAATGTTGAAAAAAAGATTACTTATAAAATACAAGAAATAAACAAAAAAGTAGTAAAAGTCCAAAAGATCCATTCCGTTTGTTTGAAGTTAAGCACACAATGGGCTATCTGTACCGTGCCTAACACGGGTATCGAAACCCACTTTGCAGACTTACCGCTGGGCCACTGAGGGGCCCAAAAGATCCATGGGTAATATTAATCAGTTAATAAAGTGATAAAATTTAGCATATCACACTAAATGAGAAAGGACGTAGTTTATGACTGGCTAAAGGACGACATTGTGACTAACCTTGATTGGCTCTATTCCAAATTGAAAAGGACGTAGATTATGATTGGCTAAAGGACAAAATTTTGGCTAACTTTGATTGGCTCTCTTCCAAACCGAAAAGGACGTAGTTTATGATTGGCTAAAGGACGACATTCTGGCTAACTTTGATTGGCTCTATTCCAAACCAAAAAGGACGAAGTTTATGATTGGCTAAAGAACGACATTGTGGCTAACTTTGATTGGCTCCATTCCAAACCGAAAAGGACAGAGTTTATGATTGGCTAAAGGACGACATTCTGGCTAACTTTGATTGGCTCTATTCCAAACCAAAAAGGACGTACTTTATGATTGGACAAAGAACGACATTGTGGCTAATTTTGATTGGTTCCATTCCAAACCGAAAATATTATCAGTCAATACTAGAAATTATGTTTGTGGTCTTTAGACAGAAAAAAACACAGAGAGAGTCTAGTTTAGTTTACCGAACTTCCATTGAATGTTCTTTAACGATATTTTATTCTTGTGTGCTTTCGCATTCTTAAACTTATAAATTTCAAAAATCCCGCATAAAGATTTACTTTTCAACTCGGAATGTTAAATTAGAAAACAAGAGGGAATCCTCAATAGCCGCGGCACTTGAAATTCTTTTCTTCAGGATTAAAGTAAATTAATCTATATGACTTTTTTTCCCCGTTTTTATTAGCTATGTTTTTTTGTGCCAGCAATACCAAGCGTGGGGCTCGCGTATACCCGAGTCGATTTTATTAATCATCAGGATCTCTAACAGCCTACCATCAAATTGAAATTCTTGTAGGCAGGAATAGAGTAAATTAATGTATGAGACCTTGGGCGTGGTCAAATACATCAATCGAAAGGGTTTGACCTTCTGAGTCGAAAACTATAATTAGATCTCAAATCGGTCAAGAGATGACGGAGCTATGAGCTGGAAGTTTGTACTTGATAAAAAACAAACTCAGAGCCATTCTATGAGCCGATATGCCGATAAAAAAACATTTAAAGATTCAAATATCTTAGCTTATATAGATGAAAATTTTAGAGGGGGAGTTATGTATGCAGCAGCGTTTGTGAAGAATTATGGCCAATTTTTGTGAAGAATTATGGACACTTTTTGTGAAGAATTATGGCCACTTTTTGTAAAGAATTATGGACACTCTTTGTGAAGAATTATGGCCATTCTTCTTAAAGAATTATGGCAACTCTTTGTGAAGAATTATGACCACTTTTTGGGAAGAGTTATGGCCACTCTTTGTAAAGAATTATGGACACTCTTTGTGAAGAATTATGGCCATTCTTCTTAAAGAATTATGGCAACTCTTTGTGAAGAATTATGGCCACTTTTTGTGAAGAATTATGGCAACTTTTTGTGAAGAGTTATGGCCACTTTTTGTGAAGAATTATGGCCACTATTTGTGAAGAATTATGGCCACTCTTTGTGAAGAATTATGGCCACTCTTTGTGAATAATTATGGTCACTTCTTGTACATTCAACTGCCTATTTCAAAACAGCTGAACTTGTTCAAACGCTTCTCTCTATTTTCTCCTACTCTGCACAATCTAATATACGTGATAAGTGATTTTTGTACACATTCTAAACCATCCAATTCTAAACGGCAACTAATGAAAGACTTCATTCAATATTTATATATATTTCTCGGCCTCCATTTATACAAATTTATTCATCATCCAACGATCGTTTCATTCCTTCTTTCATGCAATAAATACTGCTTTTATGCTAAGTAGTTGCCAAATTTCATGCCTGACTGAATTTCTTAACAAAATGGAATGCTCAGTTTTTATCATAAAAAGTCTATTTTCGTGTAGCTCTAAATTAAGGAGTGTGGGAGACGGTGTGTATTTAATGTGTTAATAGTGTTCTTTATTTATTTTATTTCGAATGAAATAAAGTAAACAAGTTAGGATATAAGTACTATTTTAGTAGGTCAAACAGCCAAAACACTGTCTATTTTTTATCTTTTATTTTCACTGTTAATTTACCGAAGTAAATATGCTATACTGTACTATACCGTGAATTGTTATTTAACAATTCACGGTATAGTATTAACAAACTGTACGATATCTATAACATACCTTGACGTGTCAAGGTATGTTACAGATATCCTACAGTTTGTTAGACTGCCCTAAAAACCGGATTTCAATACCCGTAGTGGGCATAGCACAGATAGCCCATTGTATAGGTTTGTGCTTAACAACAAACAAAAAAATGTTAGACAATCATTCTGAAATTTCGGTTTACGGTTTCAAGAATTATTCATAATTACCAAATATCACGTTTTATATTTAAAAATAAAAAAGGTAGTAATTTCAGTTTAATTTAGAAACATGTCATTATCTTCAAATTATATGTTTATGTTTGTATTGCCGATAATTTGCATCAGGCCAGAAATTTCATTTTGTTTTTCAAAAAAATAAAGATGCTTTTAATTTGAGAAAATAATCCGTCAAACTGGTGTACTTGTAGTTTGACTAACTAATTTTTGAAAGTTTGTTGTTGTTGTTGTTTTGTCTCCCAAATAAAATGGTGCGAATATTCTGTGGATGACTACTGAGTTGATGTTTCTTTATGAAGCTTTAAGTATACGTGTTCGAAAGATGAAAGATTCCACAACCAAACAAGATTGAACCTACGAGATAGAGGATACCACAACCAAACAAGATTGAACCTACGAGATGGAAGACACCACAACCAAACAAGATTGAACCTACGAGATAGAGGATACCACAATCAAACAAGATTGAACCTACGAGATGGAGGACACCACAACCAAACAAGATTGAACCTATGAAATGGAGGACAACACAACCAAACATGATTGAACCTACGAGATGGAGGATACCACAACCAAACAAGATTGAACCTATGAATGGAGGTACGACAACCAAACAAGATTGAACCTACGAGATGGAGGATACCACAACCAAACAAGATTGAACCTATGAGATGGAAGACACAACCAAATAAGATTGAACCTATGAAATGGAGGGTACGACAACCAAACAAGATTGAACCTACGAGATGGAGATTACCACAACTAAACAAGACTGATATATAGATATCCAGTACTTATAATGTTAATTGCACTCTCTGTAATCAAACATTATGTTTATATTTTAGTTTTTAATCTCTAGATATTTACAGATTTAAACTATAAGTAAATTTATGAACTATAACTTGTCGATTTTTGTTATTTTCAAGCGATCTAAGCTATAAAATATCCCTACGAAATGTATACATGGGATTTCATGAATCACGAAGAAAGAACGCAAAGTGGCATTTCACCTGGTATTTTAGTACGTTAAATGGCGTTTCACCTGGTATTTTAGTACGTTAAATGACGTTTCACCTGGTATTTTAGTACGTTAAATGGCGTTTCACCTGGTATTTTAGTACGTTAAATGGCGTTTCACCTGGTATTTTAGTACGTTAAATGGCGTTTCACTTGGTATTTTAGTCAGAAATTCATGTGTGTAATATAATATATATGTAAGTTTGTTTCTATAGCTTACATGATTTGGTTCTGAAAAATACTTGCAGGGATCATGCCTTAATTACAAGATAAATGAATATTATAATGTTTAGAAAAACCGTTCGTCACGTGGAGAGTAAAGAACTGTCACGTGCATTTCAAGGCCTAGTCTTAGAAAAACATGTCGTGGAAGTTTTGGAATGTATTAAGATTGTTACCAATTATAGTTATGATTTAATTTGTATATTCAAGTGTGTTTTTTATCACTATTTTTTTAGTGGGGAGATTAGTTTCACACTTAGCTTTTCCGGCGCCACCTTGAATTATATGTAGTTCCTTTGAAAAAAAAAGTCCTTGTGCATTTCAAAATTATATGGTTACTGTCAAGGAAATAACCTTAGGTTTGGGTAACATATACATGGAACTAGGAGAGAAATAGCTAACGAAATAAAGGTCAAAAATAAGCACATAAGATAAAGCAGATTGCCCTCATAAAAAAACAGGCTTCTATATTCAGAAGTGTGGCTTCTTATTTAAGTCCTGTTTTTTTTTTATTTGGGACAAGTGTTCAAATAATTCCTTGATAAACTAACAGTGCAAAAATTAGAACAATTGCGATAGCATCAACTCTTGAAATACTTTTCTAAGAACTGCGGGCCTCACACGTGACCTGTAGACAGTAAGGTTGACCTCACGTGTCGTAAACAGACTTTCAAGAATTCGGGACAGTGTAAAAAACGAACTCTACCAACTTATCTAAAACATTCATCTACGGAGCTGTTCCTGAAAATGATGACGGAGCAGAATGTAACCAAAGGAACGATTCTTGTTCCAAGAACACCGAAATGAATGATGTTCACTTTCTGGTAGACCAAACGTGACAATACGAGATCTCACAGTTTTCTCTTTCATTCTTTGCGTTGTTGCTCTTCAATGGATGCGTATAACAATTGTGTAGTTTTTGTCATTTCATCAGTATCACAGCTAGTTTGGTTTCTGATTTTTTTCTTCTTTCTTGAGGCATCATAAACAAAACCTAAATGTCTATATGTCACAGCGCAGGGCAAGTTAATTCTGTGACCATATCTGATGGGTGGCAACAGCAACTCGACGCTAAAGATTTATGTCCTTTCCTTGATCTCCATTATAGTAACTCTCATCCAATTCTTAATGTTTACTTCCACCGAGTCCTTTCCTTCCAAGGAGTTTGTTCTCTAGAGTCACGTTTACCATGGCAATCTTTTCCAAACAATTGTCTGGTCTTGTATAAGAAGCCGATAAAGAAATCACAACTCACAATTTTATAGTTTCTGGTTGTTCACTTCCTTTTGAGTCCTGTACCATATCTCACACCCACACAAGTCTCTCAATGTCCAATTTCCTCAGTGTCTACGTTTTGTACACATACACTACAATAAGCAAGATCGGATAACTGAATAGACTTAGCTGGATCATTGTCCTCATATTGTCACCTCTCGCTCTGAGTAACATTATCTGGATCGTTTTCCTCATATTGTGTCTTCTCCCATAGAGTAACATTATCTGGATCGTTGTCCTCATATTGTGTCTTCTCTCATAGAGTAACATTATCTGGATCGTTGTCCTCATATTGTGTCTTCTCCCATAGAGTAACATTATCTGGATCGTTGTCCTCATATTGTGTCTTCTCCCATAGAGTAACATTATCTGGATCGTTGTCCTCATATTGTGTCTTCTCCCATAGAGTAACCTTAACTGTATCGTTGTCCTCATATTGTCTCTTCTCCCAATGCGTAACCTTAGCTGAATCATTGTCCTCATATTATCACTTCTCCCACTCAGTAACCTTAGCTGAATCATTGTTCTCATATTGTCACTTTTTCATGGGGTAGAAATTCTATAACACATTTTATATCTAAGTAAATTCTGACCTTGTTGGCCTGTATCCTTATTTACCGTCTACTTGGTTGGGTCATGATGCATTTCAACAACGAGAATCTTCACTGCTCTGGTTACTCATTCAACTGTTGTTGGAAGTTTTCTTCAGAAGTGGCCAGCAGCGTCATGAGATCGGTATACCATAAAAATCCTCATGAGGCATCTTATCTGCTATTTGTTATTTCGTACTATTGTCCTGGAGCTTTTTTTTTCTTCTTACATCAGCAAGTGTTTTAGTCCATCTACATACTTCGTAAACTTATCTCATCATCATTTGTCTGGAGCAATTACACTTCTCAAGCTCATACAAGATGATCTGTCCCAACATCAGATCTCTTTTTATCTCTTTGATAACTCTATAATCGCTTCAACTAAATTACGTTATTATGAAAAATATCGAAGGAATTGGGTTTATGTCTCCAACTTTATTCAATTTTTTAAAACAAGAGTTTGTAAGTATAGTATTTAATTCTATCAATTAGTCCAAAACTTAGAAGAAACTAATGGGCCGTTGAAGAGGTACAACGATCGTCACTGCTGTAAAACTAATGGGCCGTTGAAGAGGTACAACGATCGTCACTGCTGTAAAACTAATGGGCTGTTGAAGAGGTACAACGATCGTCGCTGCTGTAAAACTAATGGGCCGTTGAAGAGGTACAACGATCGTCACTGCTGTAATGCTCATAACGTGTTAAATAATAACTTTGTTGTAGCGATCATGGAATACTAAATAATAATTGTTGTAATATTTACAAAATACTGAATATTGACTTAGTCGTTACGTATTAAGCATAAGGCGGTTTTCTAAATGATAACAAATAGTATAAAAATCTTTATTGTGTTATGTAAAACAACAAAATAAAAATGATAGGAACTATCCATGTGTATCATCGGTCAACAGAAAGGCTCGAGATTTGGTCTGGTGAAATAGAACATTTTATTGTACGTACACAAGTTTTCACGAACCTATGCATGCTTTCAAACATGATTCACTCATCCTCAATTTCTACATGGCAGTGTGTTCTTTGATAATCAGTTTTTCTCTAATAAACACCTTTTATAAAAGGAAACTAAATTCACCGCTGACAAAAACGTATTTTTCCTGTAAATGCTGACAAAGAATTTCATTGTAATGCTTTATAATTTATATCAAAATAGGACTAAATTAGTTCAATAGTGCAGCAGATTTACAGCCTTATTCAACGCAACTATCTGCGTGAATCGGCAAAGTTTCTTTTTGGTCTTAGCCACGTGTTTGTTGCACGTAGCGAATTCTTTTTCTAGACTAAACCTTCGCGCAAAATTATCTTAAATCTCTGGAGATTTCTTGTATGAATGTGTCTATTTCTTTCAGAATTTTCCCAAACCCATACAAGGACTAGTTACGTATATTCACCCTTAAATTTAAACTGATAGACTAAAGAGAGAAGGCAGCCATCAAAGCATCCACCGCCAACACTTAAGCTACTCTTACTTGATCAAATAGTTGAAAGTTCACTGTCACTTTTAGAGCGCAGCAATAGCCACAAAATGCGAATTTGTTGTTTTTTTGCGACAACAAGTTGCAAATCGTGAATCCTTGATTTCGCAGTCCGAGGACTTTTACCACTGGACTACACACGACCCTATGTAAATATGTCCTCTACAGAAGCCTGCTTTGAGTTAAATTTACATTTGTTGTTAGGATCTTCGCACCGAAGAAATAACAGTTTACGTAAGCTCTCTTTACCTAAGGGCCCTGCTTGGCCAGGTGGTTAGGGCGCTCGACTCGCTATTTGAGGGTCACTGGTTCGAATCCCCGTCACACCAAACACGCTCGCCCTTTCAGCCGTGGGGGCGTTATAATGGGACGGTCAATTCCACTATTCGTTGGTAAAAGAGTAGCTCAAGAGTTGGCGGTGGGTGGTGATGACTAGTTGCTTTCCCTCTATTCTTACGTTGGTAAGTTAGGGACGGCTAGCGCAGATAGCCCTCGTGTAGCTTTGCGCGAAATTCAAAACAAACAAACAAACTTTATCTAAGAGCTAATAGTTATCATGAAACGTTGTGCATTAAAACTAGCTTATTCTCGTTCTTGAGGATATTCTATATCAGATACTAAATATGGATCTTTACTTCGTATTATGCATTAACTTTCTTGTATCTATTTCGTGGGTTCCCGACTCTCTGGGGCCTCGCTTTGTTTGCATCTATTCACTAATGACGTCAACGTTTCACAAAGGCATACGTCATAGCCAGACGGCAAATGTCAGAAGACTCTCATTACCTTTACTTGTTTCAAATCGCGTGAGACAAAATGGTCAAGAACGTGAAAATATACCATTAATGTAAAGGAAGACAAATCAGCCATATTTTCGCTATGTACACATTATCCACGTACCTGACAGTCAAACAGCTGTGGGTGGTATGTGGACAGATGATTAATAGAGTTTTATTAACTCCACGTGTTTCATGACGTCAGCTTCCTACAATCGTTTCACGTCTAAAACAAACACCGAAGTAATTTTGCCAAGTGCAATTGTCAGATATTTCGAAAGTTCGTAAATTAAGGAAAATCCCCTGTGGTTTTATGATCTGGCTGCTATTGGTGGAGCACAGAAGAGTCGAAAATTATAATATATTGTTTTCGTCAAAGAAACGAAACTAAACGTTTAGCTGTGAGCCAGAGAACCTCTTTGATATATTTGTGACGACCTGTCAAATAATTTCGAAACTTGGCAGAGATTTCAACTGGATATATATATGAATATTTATAAATAATTATCGTTGTACTCACGACGAGATATGTATGGTTAGTTAGTTTCCATATACAAAAGAAACTAATGCCTATACGGAGTATATGCAAGATAAGATCATTTGATCATGGTTTTATAAGAAGGGTTCCTGTTTGAATTCGAACTAACTTCCACGTATGCTCTATATATGAACAAATACCGATATTGAGCTTAAAAGATGTTTAAAACACAAATACAAGTTGGAGTTTAAAAGATGTTTAATACACAAATACAAGTTGGAGTTTAAAAGATGTTTAATACACAAGTACAAGTTGGAGTTTAAAAGATGTTTAATACACAAGTACAAGTTGGAGTTTAAAAGATGTTTAATACACAAGTACAAGTTGGAGTTTAAAAAATGTTTAATACACAAGTACAAGTTGGAGTTTAAAAGATGTTTAATACACAAGTACAAGTTGTAGTTTAAAATTATGTTTAATCCACAAGTATAAGTTGGAGTTTAAAAGATGTTTAATACACAAGTACAAGTTGGAGTTTAAAAGATGTTTAATACACAAGTATAAGTTGGAGTTTAAAAGAT